AAAAGGGTGTGTATGGGCCAATCTACATATAAACCCGATATGCTTGAAAATGCTCAACATTATAAGGTTTAGGTCTAAACCACTGGTTCCAATGTACTTCGTGAAGGCTGAAATTTTAAAGGCACTACATATAAGCAGAAATGCAGATAGCAAAGGCAACAAATATGAGAGATAATGCCAGGAAAATAACCCTTCCCTTTCCAATGCCCCTGCCAGGGGATGCAGTGTACCCCTTGATGCTTCACCCTTTGGGGGATCTGGAGAACACACAGCCATATTGCTTTCAGCATGAAGCTTTCTTTGATGCCCTAAAGCCTATGTGAGCCTCCCTAAGGGAAAGAGCTCCTATGTGGAAATGTTGCTGTGTACTTCAGCATCACCCAGGCTGAACCTCCTCACAGAAGCTCAGGCTGAGCCTGGGAATAGAAAATAAGGTTCTTCATCTCCCTAGGAAGCCATGGAACACATTTTCTTGCCTTGATGGGAAAATCTGAAGATTGGATTTTTTTCAGGATCAATAAAGTACCTTGCAGAGTAATTTACAGTAGAATGTGAAAACAAACACAGAAAGAAAAGCCCCAAACAGCACACTCCCCCTCCTGAGACAGAGAGGAGACCTCCCCTGGTTACTCCTGAGGTGGTCCCCTCTCCTTCTTATTTACTGACTAATTTTTGTTCCCTCTCAAATTCCTTTAGAGCCTGAGTCACCACTTGGGAATTCGTTTGTTCCCATGTCTGTCCTCCTATCGAATACTTAAGCTTGCATATCTGCAGCCAGGGAAGAGAGAAACAGGTAGAACAAAAGAGAAGCTTTGTTGGGAAATGGGCATGCTCTAGAAGGCTACTAGAGGATGGTGGAGAGGAAGGAGGGTGGATGACTGCATAGCCTGAAGCAGACTCAACCTATGGTTCAGCAGTTTCTCCAAGTCTTCAGTGACTGTTACATGGCTGCTTCCTCCTCCCTCCCTCCGTCCCTTCTTTCCTTCCTTCCTTCCTTCCTTCCTTCCTTCCTTCCTTCCTTCCTTTCTTCCTTCCTTCCTTCCTTCTTTTATTCCTTCCACGCTTCCTCCTTTCCTCCCTTCCTTCCTTCCTCTTTCCCTCCCTTTCTTCTTTCATTCCTCCCTTCTTTCCTTCTTTCTCTCTCCCTCCCCACCAGTCAACAATTGTCTTGGCTCCCAATTCCACATGTAGCTGTCATGGAAATACAGAATATACACTCACAAGACTCACGGTCCCCTGTTCTGTTTGGTGGCTCCTACCCTTAACCCTTGCCTGGGGGTCTCTAACAGCCACTCAGTTCTGAGACCCTGCTATTACTCATTCCAGTCTTAAGAAAAGCAAATGCTTCTTTAATGGACAAAAATTATCCCAACAGTTTCTCCTCAGGAAAAAAAAAAGTCTAAGCAAGTGACAATCTAGCTGGACATCTTTCAACTCTACACTATGGCAGTGTTCCAAAGAAAAAGAAACAGTGGGGTTTATCTGGACAACTGAACTATGAATCTATTTTCAGTTCATAGTGTCCTAAAACTGCCTATTCACGAAGCCCAGATAACCGTGGAGTAAAATAGAATAGCAATGTATGATAATAAAATATTCTTATAAATAATAAGACATAATTCTAATGATGAAGCCCAGATAGAACACCTAGGCATGGGACACTCTTATGCCTTTGGAAGGACTGGACTGGAATTTCTTGCCCTGCAAATGGTCAACCTTCAGGTTTGTTTGTCAGCCCTGACTCTGTCACGCAGTTGCTCGGTCAAGTTCAAAGCTGCCTACCTTGCACACTATGTCCTATGCCAGTTTCTGGTCCAGTCCTGAATAAAGCAGACAGAATTGACATCTCAAGGATGGACTCTGCTGGCCCCTGCTCAGCCTTTTAGGCAGCAAGTACTTGGTAACTGACCGGTCTGACTCTCACTGTGCCACTCATACCTACTTGGTGGTGGTAGAGGGGGTTGGGGGGGTAATTTTGACCACTATCATCAGAATGTTATCTAGTTTGTGCCAGAAAACTCTACAGACAGCAGTTACTATATCCAGTTACTATATCAGTTACTATATCCACTGACACAACAGTAAATGCTTATCTTACTCCTTGGTGGGATGGGGGATGTGTGTTGATGTACACATGCATACATAAATACAAATAAATCTAGTATGAATTGTACTGCTAGAAAGGAAAGCATGTGATTTGTAAATACCAATAAAATATACAACATTCTTTATTACAAAGTCCTTAAAATCCAATTACCCTCCCCAGATGCATTTGCTTATTTATTTGAACCCCTGAATCTGTAGCCAACAGTCATAATTAATATGTATGTACAATTTTGATGTTAATATTGGCTATTTCCATTCACTTAACTATAGCAAGACAAAAATGAAGCAATCAAGTCCTCTTAGGAACTGACTTGCTTACCAATGATATAAGCAACAGCCTTGTTAAACCAAGTCGTGGTTTTAAAATATTAGACGCATATTTTCTCAGTTCTTTGGGTGATTACTATGCAACTGCCACAGAAATTTTTCACATATAATTGTATTTTACTTAATTATTTATATGTGTGCATACATGCATGCACAAACATGTCATGACCTGTGTGTGGAGGAATGTCTGAGAACAACCTGCAGAAGTTAGCACTCTCCTTCCATCAAGTGGGTTATGGGAGTCAAACTCAGGTCATCAAGTTTGACAGCAAGTGCCTTTACCTGCTGAGCCATCTTACTGGTCCTGAAATTTTTCACTTTAATCTGCATTATTAATAACTTCTCCATTGCTTTCTTAAATCTAGACCATGGATCAGTGAACTTTCTCTCCAAAAAGACCAAAGACTAAATAAATTGGGCTTTGTGGGCCACATATGGTCTCTGTCACATAACTTTATGTGTATGTTTTGTTTTTACAATCCTTTAAAAATGCAAAAAAAAAAAAACCAAAAAACTAAAACTATCCTTTGCTTGCAAGCCACACAAAACCAGCCTTGGGTCAGATCTGGAATGACAGTTTGCTGATACTTGGTCTAGACAGCTCATGAAACAATAAAACAAGCTGTGATTTATATCATCTGTGATTCTATGTTGTAAATATCCCGTCTGTGGACAGTTCCAAGACCACGTGACTTCACTGGACAGGTGCTGAGAAGATGCGGCAGGCCAACATTACCCAGTGTTCAGACACAGGAGTGTGTAACCTTAAGAGCATACAAGTACAACATGGAGTATAGAGTCTAAGCATTTGCTGTTTCTTGGTGTTATTTATTCACCCTTTTCACTGGTATAATTATTTATTTTTAGTGATAGTTGTTGACCAAATTTCTATCATTTTAGTGATTTCTGTGAGTTAACTGCAGCCTGGGACATCACACATTGTGTGGGGCTCCAGGAACCAGCTCTTCCTCCCTGCATCTCCCTATCTATGCCACCTAACAAGCCACGCTGTGATACTGCATGGTCCCAAACGTGACATGATAAGTAGATTTTGAAGTCTGTACTTTGTCATTTGTCTGAGACCTTCGCAGCACTTCATTTAATAGCTTAAAAAAGCCAGTAGATAAATCAACTCAGAAGATGCTTGGGGGCTTGAAAATTACTGGGTGCCCATTTCCTTGACTGGGGAATATCCCTTAGACTTTGCCGTCCCAGACTGCCGAACCCACCATAGCAAAATTCATCAAAAGGCATCCCTCCCCTGGCTAAGGGTCAGGACAGCATCAGAGAGGAAAAGGTCCCATGAATCTTACTGGAGACATGTGGTTGGTGGCTGCTGGGTTTCTGAAGGACTGGAGTATTCAAAATGCGTTTTGTGCTGAGTGTGACAAGGTACAGCAAACTACTGAAGGTAGTAAGAACAATAAAAAATAATATCGCCTGTCTAGACATCCAAAAGGATCAAGGGAAAGAAGAAATTCACAGGAAGCCACAGCAGTATAACTTAGGGAATTCAGAAGCCAAAGACAAAGAGGGTGTAGCAGACCTTTTGGGGTGCCTGGCAGTGCTTGCTTACTACTTTAAAAAAAAATGTGGATTTTTACACATTTTGGTCCTTGGCTATATCTCGGTGTAGCGCTGGCATAGGATAAGCAAAACCTATGAGCACAGAGAAAGCATGCACGTAAATTAGCTCAGGCTACTTTTGTGGATGGCAGACTTTAACAATAAATAGATAAATACAGCCTCCGGATTCCCACTTTGCTTCTAATCTTCTAGAAGGAGTAGGTGCAAGAAAGCGTCCCTGATATTAGGGCGTGAGGGGAAGACTTTTGCCCTTAATTGAAATCATTGTTTTTCTAGGGAAATTTAATTTGGGGAAAAATGTTTTTCTAATTAACCGGATGACCGTGTGCTGTGCAAACAATACAGATTCTTGTTTGAAAGTAACGCATGCCCCTGCTCCTAGGACTACCAAGGGAATTTAAAATGAAAAAAAGAAAAATGCCAGCAGCTCTGACCTCACGTTTTATCGAAGCTAAAAAGACTCCCTGGCTCCCTGGCTTTCACGTCAGTTCCCAATTTAAAAGCCGCAGCGCTGAATGTGTTCACACTGTATGGAGACACCTTTTTCTCATCTCTGGAAATGGCTTCGAATGATTGCGACCTGGTTCTCTCTGTGGGTGCGTCCCTCTATCCCTCTCTGTTCTTCTTGTGCTGGGCTTGGCCTGCAAAGTTAGAAACTTCACATACTGATGGCTCAGAGGAAGAGCTCATAATGCTGGTGCTGGGCAGGGCAGTCTAGCCAAATTCCATCCATTAGCTCAGGCGCCAGCCCGAGTGTGACCAGCAAGAATGCCGTTTTGGTTCCATAGAAGAGCTGATAGGAAATAGGAAATGCCTTTTTTATTTTCCCCTGTCTGTCTCCTTCTGTTTCAGTTCCTAAGAGGCAATATATGGACAAATGGAGAGTCCAGGATTCCAGACTATGGAAGAAAGGAGTTAGTTGTTAACTCAACCCCTAATAGAGCAGCTTAACCAACCACCATTCTCTTTTTGACTGTTTTGATCTATTCTGCTACTACTTCATATACTAAAATTGGAATAATACTGAGGAGATTAGCATGTCCCCTGTGCAAGGATGACATGCAAATTCGTGAAGTGTTCCATATTATTTTTAGCCAGACAGTAGTGCTACACACCTTGAGTTCCAGCACTCAGGAGGCAGAGGCAGGTGGCTCTCTGAGTTCGAAGCCATCTGGTCTGCAGAGTGAGTTCTAAGACAGCCAGGGCTACACAGAAAAACCCTTGTCTCAGTGGGTGGGTGGGGCATTATCTATATATTGGCATCAGATTAGTGCCTATGTTGGACTTAAAGAATACCCAAATCAGAAATCAAATATCCAATCCAGCTGACATTTCCAGAGCTGCTGACACTGTGGCAGGGACTAAGAGGGGAGCTTTGGAGGGCAACACAATTGCACATGGTTCCTGCCACAAATGAGCATTAAATCTACAGAGGAGGCTCCTAGGACCACCAGGGGAATGGGAATTACAGTTCTAAAATGTAAGCTGCTCTGACCTCTTAAATGCAAATGGCAAAACAAAGAAACAAGAGCTTCTTGGAGAGAGTCTGAAAGTTGCTGGGGGAGGGAGAGTTGGCAGGGATGCTTCCCCCCTGGGAAGTTAGGGAACACTACAGCATCAGATCCTTTGAAGTAAGGGACAGTTTGGGTAAGGGACACTTTGAAGTAAGGGAAGCTTTGGGGGAAGAGAACATACTAAGAGACAAAACAGTGTAAGCAATGACTGGGATGGGAGAGGGGGCTGGAGAGGAGATGAGGGGGAGGAAACACAACTTTCACAGCATACTCTTCCTGAGTATACTCTAGACAGATGGGCTGGGGCCACCTGTGACTTGAGGACCTGCAAGATAGCAGGTTTTATGTGTGTGTTGGCAGTGTTGTTCTGCTTTGGATTTGTTTGTTTGTTTTATCAACGCAAGAGAAATCAATTCAACATTGATAAAGTGTTGTTTGTGGATGTTTTTACTTCTGCATCATCTTTACCCTTTGACACAAAGCGGCCTGAGGCTTAGGAAAGTGTGCAAACCACAGCACTCTGCGGCTTGTCACCCAAATCCTTCAGTCACAAATCTTCTTCTGACATGGAGCCTGTGACACTTTCCATTGTTATTGTTTTGTTTAAAAAGAAGAAAGGAGAAATGCTGAAACATGAGACATGTTGACTATAAGTTTATTATAAGGCCCGGCAGAGTAGGGAGACTAAGAAGAGGAACAGGGGTAAATGGCTGACCACCATGGCCAGTCGCCATAGACAGACCGAGAGAGAGCATAGGTGGGAGACAGAGTAGAGAGAAAGGAGCTGAGAGGAAACAGAGCAGGGAAACAGAGAGAGGAAACAGAGAGAGTGTAAATGGGTAGGGACCTGTCTTTTAAAGGGGTCCTCTGCACCTGCGTGCAGACTTAGTTCCCATGGAACCTTGGGCTGACCAGGGTACTGCCTGTTCCACCAGGTAACGGGGGCAGGCCAGCATAATGCCTGAACCTTTCATCCATCACATTGAAGATTTCATGTGACAGGACCAGGCAGTCGGGAGCCCTTTTCTTCCTAAACTTCTGAGCTGTATTTTATATGGCTGCCATCAACTCACTGTGATGTGAAGCTACAACTTTCCAACCCTGCCTCAGTTCATTTGCTGACGCTAGAAGAAAATATCAGAGTGGATAGTTTATAACAGAAAGAGGCTTGTATTTGGGGTCATGGTCCCCATTCACTGGGAAGTCCAGGCACAAGATACCAACAAGAACATCACCCTACTTCAAGCCTGAGAGCAGGAATGTAAAGCAGAAGCAAAAGCCTTGTTTTTAGACAAGCCACTCTTATGGCAGCTAATCAGGTCCTATAACAATTAACCACTCCTGTGAGTGTGACATTAATTCCTCTTAACTAAGCATCTCCCAAGGGTGCTACTGCTTCCCAGCTGGTACCCTGGAGACCAAGTTCAGCATGGCTGGGACAACCTGTACTCAAACCATAGCACTGCCCAAAATGAATCAGTGCTTTTGAATCCTACGTACCAAATTAAGTATTTGTTAAAGTCACAAAGCTTGCCATTTGAAACAGCCACAGTTATCTGATATATAAATGCGGTAAATCACAGTTCTGGGCCACAGCCTGACTTCCAGGAGCATTGACATCTTTTCATGCTCATTCTCAGTTGTTATGAGCCACTACATGGTTTAACCAAGCATCTATTTCCCACACTAAACAGAGACAATCTCTAGGATCTTTATCTTCAAATTATATATCTTACCTGGCATTAAAGTTTATCTGTACCACTCTAGTCCATCAGAGATTTAGGGAAGTCTTATATGCCAATTTGTCAGGGCTGTTCTATGAAGTCTTCAAACTACCTACAGGGAGCTTTTCAGAGGGAACATATTCGGCTGCCCTCCTAAAATCCCCCTTGCTCCCAAGAGACTCACTCTCTCTATTCTCTCCTTCTTCTTTAGCTTCTTTAACTTCATTTTCATGTAGCTTCAGGCCAAAAAGAGCAGCCACTCCCCTCCCCACACACACCCCACCCACCTAACCGCACTCCCACCCAAAGAAGTACATGGAGGAGAAACACTGTTGGCAGCCTGGAACCAACTATCTATCCCAAAAGGGAGAATTTGCTCCTTCCGACATGAATTATTTTTCTCAAACTCCTTCACCTATGAGACCCTGATGAGTCACAGGATCTAATCAGACACAGGGTAGGACTGGTGGTGACTACCAGAGCAGAGCCCACCTACCCACAAGCCTGCGTCTGGTTTTGTTCTGTCTGTCAAGGAGCCATGCCTCATGTTCTACTGAAACATGTTTTCATAAAGCACATTTCAATAGAGTATAAATACTTTTTATTCAGACAAAAATAGGGGTTTCTTCAGAAATGTTGAGCATTGTATCTTTGAGCAAAACCTCACTAATCGCCTGCCAAAAACTCTGTTATAATTCCAAACCCTTCCTCTGATTTGAGGCTGTCATCTGAATTGTTAGACCAGAGTCCCATCCCTTCCCTGGAAAACTTGGGTCTCCGTGCTGGAGTTTTCTTCCTGTGGATCAGGGTTAGAGAGTGTTCCCTATTACTCAGAATCTTGGGTGACAGGGTTGATCCTGAAGTTTCTACAGGCTGCTGGTGCTATTGACTGAGTAGATAAGATGGCTCTCCAGCTGATTCTGCTGAATCCATCTCAGTGAAGGTCCCTTTGAGGGGCTTCCCATTTTGCAAACAGGTTCAGGAAGCCCTTGTCCCACCATTGCATAATATATGCCTAATTGTGATCTGGGCCCTCATATTGTTGCTTCTCATGTTGTGCATCAGAGAAGAGAAAGCAGAGAGCCTGTTGTGGAATTGGCTGTTCTGGCCAGTGACTCATTCAGGTCAGAGGGTATCTGAGTTCTGTCCTCCCTAAACAGCTTCTATGGCCTGCATGATTGTGATGCTTGGAACTTGACTCCCAGAGACTCTGAAGGAATCCCAAGGAACAAAGAACTCATCACTGCAGCAGGAATTAGAGCAGTGGTTCTGAACCTGTGGGTCATGATTCTTGGGCATCAAATAAATGACCCTTTCACAGGGGTCAACTAAGACCATTGGAAAACACAGACATTTACATTCAATTCATAACAGTAGCAAGTTATAATTATGAAGGAGCAATGAAAATAATTTTATGGTTGGGTATGCTCAGACATTCTTTGGACCACCAGCTCCCAAATAATGACACAGGACCTTTTTTAAAATTATGAAAGCTTAGCTTTAGCTTGGGCTTGTTCCCAACTACCTCTGAAAACTTAAATTAGCCTGTTTATATTAATCTGCCATGTGGCTCGTTACTTCTCCTCAGTTCCTTTGGTCCTGCTTCCTCCATGTCTGGCTGGGAAGCCTCCTACCTCTCAAATTCTTCCCTTGAGTTCCTCCCTCCCTCCCTCCATTCCTCCCTCCCTCCCTCCTTTCCTCCCCCCCTCCCTGAAAGTCCCACCTATCCTCTCTTGCCTAGCTATTGGTCATTCTGCTCTTTATGAAACCAATCAGAAGGTGTCCTAGGCAGGTGAAGCAAAACAGAGACATCTTCACACAGTGTGATCAAATACCCCACAACAGTTGGGGGTGACCACAAAATGAGGAACTGTGTTAATGGGTTGCAGCATTATACTATTATAGCAAGGATATTTTTGTTTCTAGAGTACTCCCCTACATGCTATTCTAGATGTATTTGTATATTTGCTGCCTTTTAAGACTTTTTATTTTTATTTCATGAGAATGTGTGAGTGCCTGTATGGATGTATGGATGGATGTATGTGCACCACACGAATGCCTGGTAGACATCAGACCTCCTGGAACTGGAGTTATGGGCAGTTATTAGCTGCCATGTAGGTGCTGAGAACCAAACCCAGGTCCTCTGTAAAGGTGGCCACTGCTCTCAACTGAGCTGTCTCTTCAGCCTCTGCTACTGATGTTTTCTTTGAATGCTAATTGTCTCATTTTTGTTGTTCCTGCTGCTGTTTTACCTTCAGTTTGGTGTGATATTCCACTCTAATAACAAAGTTTCCTCAATTTCACCTTAAGAGACTCTGCCTTGTTAAAGCTAGTAGTTCACAAGAAGAATTAAAAAAAAAAAGATAAAAGGGGAATCTATGTATTTTCTTTAAACTGTATATGTGAGCCAGACATGACGACTCACACCTACAACATCATGAGTTCAAGGCCTGTCTACGCTATATAGGAAGTTCCAGGCCAGCTTGGGCAACAAAATTAGACTCTGCCTCAAACAAATGAAATATATATTTATGGATTTCAGGTTATATAAGATAAGGCAATAAAGGCATGACTTGGGAGTTGCTATATAATCTTAATCATTTGATTCTAAATATATTTTATAATATGTCTGAGAGAATCAAAGACAGGAGATGGGAAAAGATTGACATTAAAGAAAAATATCACTATTTTGTAGAAAGTACTATTGGGCAGGAGGGGGTGGCGATATACATACCCAAATAGCAAAATCAATACTTAGTACCAGGGAGGGAAACAATAAGGGACACTTTTCAGTTTTCTCACAATCAACAACAGAAAAGAACACACACCATAAAACATAATACAGTGTTAA